TAGCCTCTGGGAGCATGCTGAGCTTGATGGAGTCTGAAACGGTATGTATCAACACTTTGGTGACACATAGTTGCTGACAACACTGCCCAGAAACCTGCGTACCTTCCCTTTGAGAGGAAGCAAAGCGCCTTCCCCCGGCTCAGAGCCGGAGAACGCCTTCACCCGGACTTGGAAGGAAGAGGGGATGCCCCCCACGCCGCGCGCAGAGAGCCAGATTGCCCTTACCCAGAGCGCTCTGCGCAGAGCGGCGGCAGCGCTGATCCAATGAAGGCTCAGGAGAGGGGCAGTTCCGTGTTTGGCGCGAAAGATAGGGGCGGGACTTCCGGTCTCACTTTGCGGGGGCGTCATTTTGGCTGGGTTGGGGGTCGTTCGCCAGATCAGAAACTCCGGAGAGTTAGGTCGGGTCTGAGGCAACTGGAGGCGGAAAGCTCGAGAGGAAGCTTTGTCCTCACTGCACAGAGGTAAATCTGAGGCTTGGAGGGGTGCCACCTGGGGTGATCCTGCGTCAGAGCTGGGGTGGAGTCTATGGTGCCCCCTTCTCCACCCTGGTCGCCCGCCGCTCCTGTCACTGTCTGCCCACAGGCTCAGATCTCAGTGGCCTCACTGATGGAGCCAACACAAGTTGGTTCTGAGTCCTTCCGGGCCCTCACCCGCCCCATCCCCACTTTTGAATCCTAAAGCCCGAAATTGGGGGATCGGATCCCCTGTTCGGATCCCTGCAGCCTAGGCCCAAGTGTCCAGCACGGTGGAGACGCTCATGGGTGATGTCCCTGTTTCTGAAAGGCAGAGTGTTATAAGCAGAGGGATCGGCATGTGCAAAGGCTTGGCGGGGTACTGGTCCTGGAGTATTTGGGAAACGTGAGGTCCGTGTTGCCTCTGTACAGAGCGAAGTGTGAAGAGGAGTCCTGCCTGCCATGGAGAAGGTGTACCTAAGGTCTGACAGCGCTTGGAACCATGGAGGCTTGCGAACAGAGGAGGGACACGGTTTGAGTTAGGGTTTTTTTGTTGTTGTTTTTTGTGAGGAAGATCGGCCCTGAGCTAACATCTGCCAATCCTCCTCTTTTTGCTGAGGAAGACTGGGCCTGGGCTAACATCCATGCCCATCTTCCTCTACTTTATATGGGATGCCGCCACACCATGGCTTGACAAGTGGTGCATCTGTGCGCGCCCAGGATCCGAACCTGCGAACCCCGGGCCGCTGCAGCAGAACACACGCACTTAACCGCTTGCGCCACCGGGACCAGCCCCGAGTTGGGGTTTTTAAAGTTTCCCAAAAGCTTCTCAGAGGAAGAACAACCTGGAAAAGAAGTGATGAGGACAGTGAGGCACAGGGCAGTTGAGTCCTTGTTCAGTGACACAGTTGGTAAGAGGCATTACTGAGGACTGAGGTACAGAGGTTATACAGTCAGCCCAAGGTCGTCTGGTTCCAGAGCTAGGCAGGGATACAAGGGAGGCCTGGGCCCATGAAGCCCTTCCATGGTTACCTGTTTCTCACAGCCTCCCTCTTCCTGCAGGTTCCATGGATACAGAAGGGCTTAAGGACCCTGCACAGGTCAGTGGATCCTCACCAGTCCCCCAACGCCCACCCACACACATGGTCTCTGGGATTGTGATGCTCTGGGACTCAGTCTGCCACTCTCCTAGCCCGTTGGCCTGGGGACTCTTGAGAAACCCCAAGTCCATGGTCCTGAGTCTAGGCCAAGGTTTATATGGACTAATTTCTATGTCTGGCAGCCAATGGAAAGAGGTGTGGAAGGTTATCCTAGGCAGAGGTACCAGCGTGTCCAAATGCTTGAAGGTGAGGCTGAGCTGGGAGTGTCCAGAGAACCACATGTCTCTTTCCTTTCTGGTGATCAGGAGAGTAAGGGTTGGGCCTGAAATGGCAGCCTGAGAAATTGGATGTTTTCCTGGAGGTGACGGGAACAATGAGGTTATGTGACCCAGGTCTTAACAGCCTCTCTCTGGCTGCAGAGTGCAGAACAGATTTTGGGAGAGAGGAGGAGGCAGGAAGACCAGGGATGAGGCTACTGCAGTAGTCCAGGTGGGCATTGGCGGTGACTGGACCAGTGTGGGGGCCATGGAAGTGGAAGAAGTGGTTGGATTCTGGATCTGCTTTTTAAGTATAGCTGACTGGATTTTCTAATGTTGAGGGTGAGAGTGAAAAAGGTAGGAGTCAGGGATTACCCTGAGGTCTTGGAAGGAAGAAAAGAAAGTTGGCAGTAATTTCCAGTGGGAATATCGGGCATTTTGTTTGGGCCGTGTTAAGAATGTGAGATGTTTCAGAGAACACTGAGTGAAGGCATCAAGTTGCAGCTGGACATAAAGGTCGGGAACTGTGGGGAGTGGTTCAGGAGAGACATCCAGAAGGTGGTGGCTAGTCTGTGTATCCAAAAGAAGGTGGAGCTGTGGGTCACCTTAGGAGGAGGAATCTTCAGGCCATGGTGGTAATGCTATTGGCAGGCCAGGAAGGGGAGCATGGGGGCCCAGAACTGAGTCTCTTGCTTCGGCATCTGGTTAGGGGTGGTGGGCATCGCAAGCACAATTGAGGAACAGAACTGACCATGAAGGGGGGTGTGGGGAGAGGATGGTCTGGCAGGTGGCCAAGGCTTCCAAGGGAAAAGTAGACATTGAGACAGACGCAGAGGCCTATGTGTAATCGAGGAAATAGTGACACAGAGGCTGGGGCGGGTTCCTATTCGCATCTCTGTGGAATTCCCAGGACTTTTTGGCACCCCTGGAGTGTTTCAGTGAGGCTGGTGGATTAGCTCAGGGGAAAATGTGGTTCTCTGGTAGAGTCACTAGGCTGGGGGCGGGGAGCTCTGGGGCAAGGCTTTTTTTGAGGGTTAGGTTGAGAGAGGGAGGTTGTGACTAGTGAGGGGACAGCCAGTGTAACACAAGTGGAAGAGGACCGGTGGGATCTGAAGTCTGCGTATGGTTCTGAGTGGCTGAGGTTGACACAAGCAGCTGAGCGAAGAAGTGAGGCTTTCATAGCAGGATTCAAGGCTGCCCCTGGCAGTGGGAGCATTGGAGGTCTGGAGTCGTACTGAATCCTGTTTGAATTTGCGAAACACAATCTTGATGCCGTGTGGTGAGTAACACACGAGGAGGCCACAGAGAGATTTATGGCATGGGGCAGGAAGGTGGTGGGGGCTGTGGGGTCTGGAGATATGAGAGGGGTACAGTCTGAACAATGATGTGCCCATGGAGGGGGAGTATGAACTGACGTCGCCATGGCCCTGGTATTGGGGACTTTGGAATGAAGGGTGGACCCAAGTTTGGTTGTGTTCAGGAGGCACCATCTGAGAGACTTCCTGGGAATTGCCTGGCAGGATGGGTGGAGCTCTGCATGGCAGGCCTGGAGCTTAAATGGCATCTATATACCCCCCTGCCTGATGTTGCTGAGGGCCAGACACAGTAATTAATGGGGCCAGGATCAGGGAGCGGGCACAAATGGCACCAGGGTCCAATACCTCATCTGAGTTGTGGAGCTTGGGACAAGTATGAGCATGGGGTGGATTTGTGGGGAGATGGTTGGGGGTCCTCGGGAAGGAGGCTGTTCATGGTTTTATCTCTCCTCATCATGGCAGGGCAGTGTAACCTTTGAGGATGTGGCCGTGTGCTTCTCCTTGGAGGAGTGGGCTCTCCTTGATGAGGCCCAGAAACTCCTATACTGCGATGTGATGCTGGAGAACTTTGCACTTGTAGCCTCTCTGGGTAAGACCATCACACTTGCCCCAGTACCTTGGGCTGGGCTCTGCCTTTCCACTTTTCCCCAGGGACAGAGCTGGCCTTCTCACCTCAGGACCTTGGGCACTGCTTCCTTCCCCACTTCCCTGGGTTCCTAGGGCTGAGCTGTTTGCACTGTCCTGTGCTCTTCCCATGCAGCCCCAGTACCTGCTGCCCAGAGCCTTGCAGGGAAGGGGTCAGAAGTCTTGCAGCCAGCCTTTTGGAGCCCACCTTGCTTTCCTCTTCTCGGCCAGGTGACCTCTTTGCCCCAGCTTCTGCTGCCTTCCTCTAGCTGACGTGTTCCCATATCTGCCTATGCTAGGAATTGCAGTCACTGATGTGTCACTACTTATGTGGCCTTGGGCTGTTCTTGCACGTTCTTCTTCTGAGGTTCTTTTTGTACTATTTAATTTTCTTTCCTATGGTCTGTCACTCTGAGTTGCTCTGGGCCAGTGCTGGCCACTCACCTGTCCAGTCTTTCCCTTAGAACTTGCATCATCCAGGTACTGTGTTCAGCTGGGGGTAGGAGGGAGAGCAGTGGGTGCTTCTCAGAGTCGACATGATTCCAGCTACACAAAATAGGCTCAGAGGGCCCTACCCTTATTGAGTAGCAGGTGAGAGGGCATGACATCAGGGCTGTGCTCAAATCATACCATGAATCTGTCCTGTTTCCACTACTGTTTTGGTGCCAATGCCAGTGGCTACACTTCATTTCTACTTTCCCTTCCCCATTCTCAACACTTTGCCGACTTGTCATTTCTACTCTGACTTTCAGCCCAGGGCTGATCCTCGACTCTCTGGATTCCACATCTCATCCAGTCTTCTCCACTCTCCCTCTCGCGGTGTTCTCTACCATTGGCCTATGCGTATTGTGTTGTGAGGTGTGCACATGTCCTCACATAGTCTTTGATCATGAGCTACTCTGTCGCAATTGGGTTTTCTTGGGCCTGGACACACCTTTCTGCACAGCAGTCATGTGTCATCAGCAGACAAGACAGCTGCTCAAAACCATTCAGAGTGAGTGGTAGACCCATCTCTCCTCTTTGTGCTGCACCCCGTCCTTTTGTCCTTCACTTGGTCCTTCATTGTGTCCTGCATTCCCCCCATGCTGTGACCTTGGACTTTGTGAGTTCTGTGGACTCACATAGACTCACTCACTGGTATATCAGATGCACGTTTGTGATGGAGTTACCTTCCCACCAAAGTTAATTGCATTTCACCTGCATTTCTTTTGTTTTCAGGTCACCGTGAATTGAGAGATGAGGAGACACTTCCTGAGCAGAAAGTTTTTATGGAAGAATTGTCGCAGGTCAGGACTCCCAAAGCAGGTCCCTTTCCCCAGAACGCCCACCCCTGTGAGACATGTGTCTCAGTCTTGACAGACATTTTACACTTGGCTTAGGATAGGGGCACACGTCCCTGGCAGAAATCATACACTTACAGGGCATGTGGGAAACAATTCTTTCAGTATAAACCTTCATCAGAAGCAGCACAGTAGAGAGAAACCTTTCAGAAGGGATGTGGCAGGGCCTTGTTTGTGAAGAGCTGCAATGACCATATACTGAGGAATTCCTTTACCTGTGACGAACTTGGGAAGTGCTTGTTGGTCAGTTTGGACCTCCTCCAGCACCAGGCCACTTACAACAGGAGAAGCCACACAGCGGCACGGAGTGCAGAGCAGCCATTCACAGTAGGAACAGTCATTAGAAGTGTGACAAATGCAAGAAAGCATTCAACCCCAAACACACACCTTTTCAGCACTAGAGAGTCTACACTGGAGAAAGAACTTATGAGTTCCACAAAAGTAGGGAAGTGTTCAGCTGCACATACAGACCTGTTCTCACTGCTGAATTCACACTGGAGAAAGGCCTTATTAATGCAGTGAATATGGGAAATTCTTTAGCCAAAACTCCAACCTTATTGAACACCAGAAAATTCATACCAGAGAAAGATCTTATGAATGCAGCTAATGTGGAAAATTCTCTAACCACAACTCCAGCCTCATTCAACACCAGAGAGTTCACAGTAGGGCAAGGCCTTGAAAGTTCAGAAAATGTAGGAAATTCTTTATTCAAAACTTCAGCCTTATTGTACAAAAGAGAAATCACACTGGAGAAAGGCGAGAGTGGGAAAGCTACAGCCTTATTAAATATCGGAAAGTTCATGTTGGAGTAAGACCTTATGAGTGTAAGAAATGTGGGGGATTCTTTAGCCAAAGTATCTACATTATTCACTTCTTCAGCACTGAAGATTTCATGCTAGGAAACGGCCTCATGAAGTGCAGCAAATCTGCAGAAGCATTCAGTTCAGGGTCTACTTTGATTTATCACTGAAAGCTTGTCTGAAACGAATATGGGAAAACCTTTAGCCGAAGGTCTGTCCTTGTTCTACGTGAGAAAGTCCACGGTGGAGAGAGGTGTTACAAGTGCCATGAATGTGGGAAAGCCTTCAGTCAGAGGTCTTCTCAGATTCAGCACCAAATATTCACCCAGATAGGCTGAGTGTAGTGAATTAAGAAAGTCTTCCGAAGGTCTAACCTCATTTGGCACCAGAAAAGCCCACGCTGTAGAAAGACCTTCTGAGTGTACTGAATGTAGGAAGGCCGTCAGCTGATAGTCTTACCTAATTGGGCACCAGAAGATTCACATGGGCCAGTCACCTTAGATATATAAGGAATGTGTAATCTCCTTGTTCAGTATGACAACGCTGGAGGAGAGCCTTTGTGAGGAACACATCTGCCTGAAGTTGAATCTTATATATCTGAACATCCACAGTGAGGAAATTCTCCCTAAGTCCCAAGTTTGTGGGAAGCTTTCAGGCGCAGTTTCTAGTCTACCCAGGGCCCTTGCCAGATTTATGTCACTACAAGGTTTTGTTATAGAAGCCATATCACCTTTACTACCTAGCAGGTCCCCACAGTGGCCAGTTTCAAGCTGCCAGCATCATGTCACTGAATATGCAATGAGAAAAGATGCATGGTAGCACATCATTATACTCTTTTTCAACCATACTGATAAAGTTTCTGTAAATAAACCCAAGAACATAGATAAATATAAAATGATTAGGAAGGACAAAGTTTGAGTATTAGTACCTTTGGTTTTTTAACAGCTTTATTGAGGTATAATTGACTTAAAATAAACTGCACATAGAGCATAAAGTTTGATATTTTCTTATTGAGGTAACATAGGTTTACAACATTATATAAATTTCAAGTATAAAATCATTATATTTCAACTTCTGTGTACACTAATCATGTTCCCCACAAATATCCCCCTTTACCCTTTCATCCTCCTCCCACTGCCCTTCCCCTCTGGTAACCGCCCATCTGTTCTCTGTATCCATGTGTTTGTTTGTTACTGTTTTTTTAATCTTCCACATATGAGTAAAATCATATAGTATTTGTCTTTCTCCCTCTGACTTATTTCACTTAGCGTAATACCCTTAAGGTCCATCCATGTTATCACAGATGGCAAGATTTCATCTTTTTTATGGCTGAGTAGTATTCCATTGTGTATATATATCACATTTTCTTTATCCAGTCATTCACTGATGGACACTTACATTGTTTCCAAGTCTTGGCTATTGTAGATAATGCTGCAATGAACATAAGGGTGCATATATCTTTTCAAATTAGTGTTTTCATGTTCTTTGGATAAATACCCAGAAGTGGAATAGCTGAATCATATGATAGTTCTATTTTTAATTTTTTGAGGAATCTCCATACTGTTTTCCATAGTGGCTGCACCAGTTTACCTTCCCACCACATCCTTTTTCTCCACATCCTCTCCAACACTTGTTATTTCTTGTCTTTTTGATAATAGCTATTCTGATGGGTGTGAGGTGATATCTCATTGTGGTTTTGATTTGAATTTCCCTAATAACTAGTAATGTTGAACATCTTTTCATGTACCTGTTGGCCATCTGTATATCTTCTTTGGAAAAATGTCTATTCAGATCCTCTGCCCATTTTTTAATGGGATTATTTGTTTTTTTGTTGTTGAGTTGTATGAGTTCCTTATATATTTTGAATATTAACCTCTTGGTGGGTATATGATTTGCAAACGTCTTCTCGCAATTGGTAGGTTGTCTTTTTGTTTTTTGATGGTTTCCTTTTCCATGCAGAAGCTTTTTAGTTTGATGTAGTCCCATTTGTTTGTTTTTTCTTTTGTTTCCCTTGTGTGAGGAGACATATCAAAAATATATTGCTAAGACTAATGTCATAGAGTGTACTCCTTATGGTTTCTTTTAGGAGTTTTTTGGTTTCAGTTGTTGTATTCAAGTCTTCAATCCATTTTGAGTTAATTTTTGTGTATGGTGTACAATAGTGGTCTGCTTTCGTTCTTTAGCATGCGGCTGTCCAGTCTTCCCAGCACCATTTATTGAAGAGATTTTCCTTTCTCCATTGTATGTGGTTGGCTCCTTTGTTCAAAATTAGCTGTCCATAGATGTGTGGGTTTATTTCTGGGCTCTCAGTTCCGTTCCATTGATCTATGGGTCTGTTTTTGTGACAGTACCATGCTGTTTTGATTACTATAGCTTTGTAGTATATTTGAAATCAGGGAGTGTGATACCTTCAGTTTTGTTCTTTTTTCTCAGGATTGCTTTGGCTATTTGGGGTCTTTTGTTGTTCCATATAAATTTTAGGATTCTTTGTTCTAATTTCCATGAAAAATGTCATTGAGATTTTGATAGGGATTGCGTTGAATCTGTAGATTGCTTTAGGTAATATGGACATTTTAACTATGTTAATTCTTCCAATCCATGAACATGGAATATCTTTCCATTTCTTTGTGTCTTCTTTGATTTCTTTCAAAAATGTCTTACAGTTTTCAGTGTACAGGTCTTTCAACTTCTTGATTAAATTTATTCCTAGGTATTTTATTCTTTTTGTTGCAATCATAAATGGGGTTGTATTCTTGATTTCTCTTTCTGCTATTTCTTTGTTAGTGTGTAGAAACACAACTGACTTTTGTGTGTTGATTTTGTATCCTGCAACTTTAATGTATTTGTTTATTACTTCTAATAGGTTTTTGGTGGAATCTTTAAAAGGTTTTTCTACATATAAAATCATATCAGGGCCGGCCCTGTGGCTTGGTGGTTAAGTGCGCGCGCTGCGACGCTGGTGGCCCGGGTTCGGATCCCGGGTGCGCATCGAGGCACCACTTCTCCGTTCATCCTGAGGCCGAGTCCCGCATACAGCAACTAGAAGGATGTGCAGCTACGACATACAACTATCCACTGGGGCTTTGGGGGGAAAAAATAAAATAAATAAAATCATATCATCTGCAAATAGTGACAGTTTTACTTCTTCCTTTCCAATTTGGATCTGTTCTATTTCTTTTTCTTGCCTAATTGCACTGGCTAGGAGTTCCACTACTATTTGAAGAAGAGTGGTAAGAATGGGCATCCTTGTCTTGTTCCTGTTCTCAGGGGGTTAGCTTTCAGTTTTTTACCATTGAGTATGATGTTAATTATGGGTTTGTCATATATGGCTTTTATTATGTTGAGGTATTTTCCTTCTACACCCATTTTATTGAGAGTTTTGTCATAAATCTATGCTGAATCTCGGCAAATGCTTCCTCTGCATCTATTGAGATGATCATGTGATTTTTATTCTTCATTTTGTTAATGTGGTGTATCACATTGATTGATTTGCATATGTTGATCTTGCATCCCTGGAATAAATCCCACTTGATTGTGGTGTATGATCCTTTAATGTATTGTTGTATTTGATTTGATAGTATTGTGTTGAGGAGTTTTGCATCTATGTTCATCAGTGATATTGGCCTGTAATTTTCCTTTTTTGCATTGTCCTTGTCTGGTTTTGGTATCAGGGTAATGTTGGCCTCATAAGATGAGTTAAGAAGTGTTCCCTCCTCTTTAATGTTTTGGAATAGTTTGAGAAGGATAGGTATTAAATCTTCTTTGGTTGTTTTGTAGAATTCACCAGAGAAGCTGTCTGTCCACTTTTGTTTTGGGGGAGGTTTTTGATTACTGTTTCAGTCTCTTTACCAGTGATCAGTCTATTCATATTCACATTGCTTGTAAGGCAGGTCTAGTGGTGATGAAGTCCTTCAGCTTTTGTTTGTCTGGGAAAGCCTTTATTTCTCCTTCATATGTGAAGGTTAACTTTTCTGGAGAGAGTATTCTTGGCTGACAGTTTTTCTTTCAATATTTTGAATATATCTTTCCACTCTCTTCTGGTGTGTAGTGTTTCTGCTGAGAAATCTGCTGATAGCCTAATTAGAGTCCCCTTATAGGTTTTTGTCTTTTTTCCTGTGGCTAAATTGGTTTTTGACAGTTTTATTA